AAAACATTAATTTGAAGAAATTTTATAAATAGTAAAGTTTATGAACTAACGTTAAATAATCATTTTCCATTAAATTAATCGTTCACGTTAAATGGAAGATGTAAATCTTTTTGCATGTATATTGTTTTAATTATATTGTTTACATTTCCTATTGTTTAAATATATTATTTAAATATATATTTTAAAATAATTCTCGATTATCTTCATCTAAACTTTCGATTATCTCTTCTAGACGTTGTATATGAGTTCTTAATGTGTGTACGTAACTTTTGTATCTAAATGTATACTAATTCTTAATTGTATTGTCTAGAGCTCCATGCAAAATGTGGTATATAATTACTAGCTTACTATAATTCATAATTTCTTGAAAATAATCCTGGAAGGTTTAGTACATCCTTCCAGTCATTGTCTTGCTTAAACAAAAACTTTCTGGTAAGTTTGATCTACGTACTGTTAGCCCAGTTCTTTTTCCATTAAATATAATTTTAAATATATAGAAATTGAAGTGCCCCTTTTTATTCTACTTTATTCTACTTTTATTTTACTAAAATCAACAAAATTTATTCTGCAGTTGAAGAAATGATTTTTAAACTTTTAACGATTGCGTGTAAGCATGCGTACCGAGTAGTTCACAGTAGAATAGGTCAGCCAATATCAGCCGCGAGACCCTTGGTTCTCAAACTTTTCGAGATTCTTCATGGATGCTTATTAAATCTTTCTGAGTGCATTCGTTATAATGATTTTGGATACTTTTCTTCAGTTTCTTTCGAATGAGTCAACCAGCCATTAGTCTTCTGGCTACATAATTCCTAATACTGTCTTCGGTTGAGTAATAGAAAAATTGAACCGTAGATAAAACTTTTTTCTATCTTGAAGTTCTTGCTTTAGCAACATTAAAGAAATTTTAACAGGTAACTCTAACGTACTATGTATTTTGACTTATGCTGTCGCATAAAACTGACAGGAACGTCTGAAATATGCTCTAGATAACGACTCACTAAAATCGTCGAACATTCTCAGAACATAATAGTATATACTTGAAGAGTTTTTGTAGAAAACACAGTAAGTGCCAAAACTAAACAAATTTTATTTATTATTCTCTTGCAGTGTACAATTTAAGTGTAATTTTCCTTTTATAAGCAGCTATTAATGAAAGCAGTCATCCATGATATTAAGAATATTGAAAAATAGGATCATTATGAGAGAACATTCAACGTAACGTTAACATTAAAACTACCAGACGAGTCAAAATGACTCATTCCTGATTTCTTCTTTTTGCAGTTATTAAGAAGGTAACAGATGTTTCTCTGAGGAATTATTAAATCAATTGATTTAGCAATACGCAAACTCAACTTTAAACCAATTAAAGTTTCAATTCTCAGTTTAACTGCTCGGTAGTTTTAGTGTCAAGTAAGTCTTTTTCTCCTCCTGAAAATTTGGATATTTAGTACAATACAATCTTACAACCCTTTCTACAAATACTCTTCAACTTGAGTTCGAAATTCTTAAAAAAATACAATATGTCTTGACCGGCTTGGTAAAGAAGATTTTCCCTCGAAGCTTTAAACAGCAAAACTAGCAACAGAATCAGGAGTGAAATCGTTAGACCCTGTATTATTGAATTTATTTTCATTTTCCGAGCCCCTTGAATCGTCTTCTCGTATCCTGATCCCGGTATCGAGACGAACCCCAGCATGTTCCAAGGATCGCATGTAATTGGCAACTAATTAATTGAAATGTCACACAGCTGAGGTGCTCGAGTCGGCGTACGTGGCATTGAAATTTCCCGTGGCAACAGCGAAAACTCGTCGCTGATTTCAGGGGAGGGAAGTTCCACGGCGCGTCGTTGGCCGTAATTAGATAGCCTGCTGGGAGACGAACTTCTTGAGTGCCTCGTCGACAGTAACCGTATTAAACGCCGTGCTGAACCGCTTTGTCAGCTGACGTACATATGTACATAGGTAGTTGGTGCCACGGCTGTGACTCAATTTCTATCGGCAGCGAACTTGTTACCGTGTGTCGGTAAAAGTGTAGTTTCAGGTGAAGGGCAATGGCAGAATTGAAGAGTATTGGTAGAAAACGCATTAAATGGCATACTTACAAATTTTCAGAAAGAAGAGGGCGAATAGGGTAAAACGGACTGGCCAGATAAAAAAGGGACAGTAATGTTTTCCATAGATAAAGAGTATACGAGTAATATTTACTCGTATCGAGTAAATATCGTATATCGTGTATGAGTTATTTTTCGATTAAAAGCATTGGGAAGATATTCAGTGAAATAGTTTTCATATTACATAGATGTTGGAATCATTTTTTGTTACCTTCCGATTAAAAAATTGAACAAGGTGACTACAGTACTGGATTCTACGTTCCTTAAGCTGTATTTTTGACACTTAAGTTATTTCTTTATTTCATGTCACACTATAAATTTTACATGTTTTTCTAAATTATAATGCCCAGAACTAAACGGAACACTTCAGAACAGGGGCACCAGGAATCTCTTGCTATGGGCTTTGTTCATAGTTTTAATTGCTTACGTGTAATCGTATTGATTTATAATATAATAAATTAAAATCGAAGATAAGATAAAAACTGACCAATTAGATTGCGCCAACGTAGAAAAAGAAGATGACACATTTATTTGCGATTTTTGTTGACAAAATCGTACATATATTAACTAATAATGAAATATATTTAGCTAGTAATTTTGATTTAGTAGAAATAAAAATTTTGTATTTTTATATGATTTTACATGAGTGCCCCGTTTTACTTTGTCATATTTACAAAGCGGATATTTCAATACCTTTAGAAAATCTTATTTTCCTTTGTAACTAAATATTTTTATTAAAAAAATCTTTTATTTCCTTATAGCCAAAGGTCTATCTAAGTCTTCCAAAAAAGGTTTCATGCGTTTATTGTTTTAAATACTTTGTTATTACGATTTAAAAAAGCGTTCCACTTCACCCTGTTTTCCCCTATTCAACACGTCGACCACCGCGAAAATGTTGAGTGTTTTTTATAATAATACTTCTTCTTTCATAATATAGACAAATGGTATTAGAAATAATTGTTAATGATTTGATATCACATGGATTAGACACAATGGCGATGGAATTCCTCGCTGAATTCCACCCTTTATGTTATGATATTCTCTTTCTTCTTTTCTGAAGAATATTATGAATAATTGCTAGAGTTTATGGAAATATATATTTTTATAAAGATATTAATGTATGCGATAAATTGACTTCAATGTTCAGTTACGAAGAAAGTGTAAAGATTTTAATATTTAACCCTTTTATTCCTGAATATGTATTTTTTCCCTAAATCAAAGAGGCGATCAAGAACAGCTGTTTTCAAATGAAATTTAAACTTTTCAGTGAAAGAAATAAAATAAGCACTACTAATAATAAAAATTAGCATTTATGCTCTCAGTCATAAGCAAAGATCCCCGTATGTTACAATTTGCCTTTATGTTTAAAGCGTTTTTTAGTTTTCCGGTAATTTAAAATATTCGTGGTACCTTTGTGTGCCATTCGGGACGAAAGTGTTAAAGAAAAACAATTGAGACGCATTCGAATTCAGCTGGACACGTAAGATTTAAAGGTCCCGACATTAAACAAATTCAATTTGCTTTATAAATGGTTATACTAAAGTGAAAGTAAAGTATTACTATATTGCTTTTATGAAAACGTGTAATTTATAATTTCTTGAAGATTTTTACATCCTATAAATGCATGTTATAAAAATCCACAGTCTGCATTATGAACCTTCTTACGTTATCAAATTAGTCAAATTTGTAATCAAAATCGAATGAAACATATGTGACAGTAAATAAAACTGAAAGTAGGAACATAACTAACTTGCGATATCGACCAAGAAAGAAACGATTGCAAATTCTACCGTAAGACCAAGAATCCGGTTGAATCCTTACATTTGACTCGTAATTGTCTATTTTATGTAGACGTTATACATTTCGATGCACGCATACGGTATGCGCAGCTTGTTCCTTGGCAGAATAGTATACTATCCAAAGGTAAAGGGCCATACTATCCTTTAACCCATACCCAACCACATCTAAGGGTCCCTCTGGATGTCGAGCCACGTGCCGGTTTAAATTTAATTCCGATCCCATTGGTCCATTTCCGTGGCGTAATGAACGCGTTCAAATGCGTCTGTAATGTAGCTTACCGTGACGAACGAAGGGTGCTTTTGTTAATAGCAGTTATATAATAAGAGGATTATCATCATACAAAGCGAGCACACAGTGGGATGTTCAGGGTTTTAGCTCGAAGAACGCGCTCGTCAAAATTGTTTTAATGAACTTACGTGATTTTTGACGATTCGTTCGCGTTCAACTATAATTACCGATTCGACGTTCTCAGCATGGCGGCGCGATAAAGAAACGTGGCACGAAATTGGCCGGGGACGCGCGCTAAAGCAAGTTTTCGAGAGATCGAGCGTTTTTCCGAGCGGGAAATTGAGAAGCACTCGAATCCGAAAATGTTCCTCCACCGAGGCCCTTTGATCGCAGAAATCGTTTCGCGATTGGTTGACCTGAAAGCGAAAAAACGAGAGAAAAAGGAGGTTTATTCAACGAAAAAGTTGGAAATTTCTCTCGCGC